CTGTTCTCGAAAGAGCAGTTCTCGAAAGAGCTCTCTCAGCCCCACATACCTCACGGGGTGTCTGTTGCGGCGAGAGGAAGGGAAGGGGATTGTAAACTGCTCTGAGTGAAGGGCGGGGTATAAATCCAATCTCCTCTTCTTCTTTGCCTTGGTTCCTTCCTTCTGAAAATATCCATTTTGGGCCAAGGAGAACCAAATCTTGTGATTGTAACAAGCCCCTCCAATTAAGGAATTGTGTGTGGGGGGGCTTAAAATCCCACCTGTCCCCACAGACCTCAGGGTCGCCTTTCCCATTTTTGCCTGACAGGGGCTTTTTATGTAGTTCAGGAAGCAAGGCAGAGATTGGGCCAAGGTCACCCAACAGGTTTGGGGGCTGGACAGCCAACCTGGCTTCAGGGACTGGCACTGTCAGTGACTTACTAAAGGCCCACTGTTTTAGAGGGCTCATGACAAGTTGTAAAGAAGGACTGGGCTGGTGTATGTGCTGCTGCTATAGCCGAATGGACAGCTATAAATAAGACTGTGGCTGTTGCCACGGAAGAGGCCGGTACAGACACTGTTGCTGTTGGTAGATGGCACTGCTGCCACCATAGTCAGAGAGTGACTGGCCCACTCTCAGGCTATGGCTGTGGGCCAAGAAGGGAGCAGGTAGCTGAACTACCAAGTAGACAAGAAGAAGAGATTGGATTTATTCCCCTCCCCTCACTCAAAGTCTTAGAGCAGCTTACAATGTCCTTTCCTTCCTCTCCCCCCAAGAGACACCCCATGAGGTAGGTGGGGCTGAGAGAGCTTTCGAGAACTGCTCTTGAGAGAACAGCTGAGAGAACTGTGACTGGCCCAAGGTCACCCACCTGGCTGCATGTGGAGAAGCGGGGAATCAAACCCAGTTCTCCAAATTAGAGTCTGCCACTCTTAACCACTACACCAAACTGACAATTGCTCTGTTAGAGCAAGCGGCAGTTGCTATCCTGGGAGGGAGGAGGTAAAGGAACTCCTGTGGGTGGTAGGGAACCCACCCCAGAAGACATTTAACTGAGGGAGTCTCAGTCTCTAGAACCATCCCCACTGAGCAAGAATTTTTTAATTCTGAGAATGTTAGCCAAGATTACAGCACGCTCGCTCTCTTATTAGGCAAAGATCGCCTGCCTCTGTAAAGATAGTTTTACAACCCCTCCCCCCCAGTGATTCCGTTCTGGTTGAAACAACACCGAAAACACACGAGCAAACTTGTCGAGCTCCTTTTTGTGTGTCAGGTCTCCTACGAAGACATCAATCAACTCAAGAAATTTGGGGTGCTGGACAAGGCCCGGATCCCCCACTTCATGCTGGACCGCGAACGGTACAACCAGCTGCTTGACCACATCGTCACGACCAACTGCCTCAAGGATGAAGAGCTGGAACGACTGCTCCCGGACTGAGTGGGGCTCGGGCGAGGGTGGGAGGTTGTGCTGTGATTGGGAAGCCTTCGGTCCCAGCGGAAGGTCGTGCTGTGGGATTGTGGCTTGTCGAAAACAGTTCTGTGATGCTGAGCGTAGCGCTTTTTAATTTATTCTTTATTTTGTGGGTGTCTCTAGTTAAGTGTTAGGTGACAGTGTCTGGGCTGTGCCAGCATTCTCCGGCTGGCTAAAGCAAGACCTCTGTGGCTTTGTGTTGAGGGCTTCAATCATGGGTCATTCTACATATATATATATACATATACATACATATATACACATAAATATTATTCTGCAGCAGGTGCCGAAAAGTACATGTGTCGCCTGGTCCACTTGTGTCAAGCACACTGGTGTAAGCTCATTGTGGCTGTTCCAAGAAATGGGGTGTATAAGTGCCACATCCAAGTATGCTGGAATTTAGTGCTAGGTGCCCAGGTAGAGCGCCTGAGAAATTTTCCTTCTCAGTTTGAAATAGCTTCTGGGATGGCCTGAAGTCTAAGAATACCTTCCACATAATCATGTCTTCTTAGGATCAGCCACGCGACACATTGTGTGTGTGTGTGTGTGTGTAAAGAGCTGTCAAGTTGCAGCCGACTTATGGCGACCCTATAGGGTTTTCAAGGCAAGCAGTTAAGCAGAGTTGCCAGTGCCGTTGCTTTCCTCTGCAGAGTCTTCCTTGGTGGTCTCCCATCCAAGTACCGACCCTGATGAGATTGGGCTCTACTACACCATTCCACATCCCAAACGATACATTAACGTGCAAACTTTCAAGTTCATCAGAGCTCTTAGGCTGGATGTTACCAAATGTTTGAAAATGCTTAAAAAGAGAGAGGAAAATTCTTCAGGGTATGACAGTGAGTCTGCACTGTGTGCTGAGCAGCTGCCAGCTTCCAGGCAGTTCTTCTGAGTGAGAGGCAATAAATCAAGTGATCTCTGTACTGTAGCCATTAACAAATCCAAGAAATGATCTCTAATTATGCTCTAAACCAGCAAGACTCAAGATTTAAGATGCTGGCAACCAAGGAGGGATGTATTTAGGTCAGCTCCCGGGGAGGGTACAGAATAGGAACGTGCTGTCAAATGTGTTTCATGTGTGTATATATTCAAGTTGCAAAACTGAAGCAAAAAAAAAATGTCTTGCTCGATCAGGCACAAGTAGCTCTGAGCTAACACCTTGTTCCCAACGGCCGTCAGTTAGCCAAACTGTTCTGGGAGGTCACAAGCCGGGCATGACCATGTAGCAAACTTATTTTTTTTATTTTAAATGCAGAGATGATGTGCAGCCCAGACTGGATAAGTTGTCCTTGTCCTTTCGCAGATGAAATGTTTGTCTGTAGTTGGCATGCATGATGTAGCTGAGGGTGCTTTGTGGTAGCTGAAGCTGTGTTACTATAGCAACTGCCTCCTTACTAATGCTCAGTTGCTGTGGTAGGGGCAGGGAAAGAAAAAAAAACAAGAGGGGCAGCCCCCTGAGCTAGAGGTTTGAGAGCCAGCTTGGTGTAGTGGTTGAGTGTGGTAGTGGTTAAGAGCGGCAGACTCTTAACTGGAGAACCAGGTTTGATTCCCCGGTTCTCTTCCGCATGAAGCCAGCTAGGTGACCTTGGGTCAGTCAGTTCTCTCAGAACTCTCTCAGCCCCACCTACCTTACAGGGTGTGTGTTGTGGGGAGAGGAAGGAGATTGACTCCTTCAGGTAATGAAGAGTGGGGTATAAAATCGAGTCGTCTTCTTGATGGAAGAGGAGGGGTGCGTGGGCCCCTTGGACGGTACCTAAACATTTTGGTCATGGGCAGAGTCTTTTTAGCAAGGAGGGAAAGTGCAGCAGAAACACATTTACCCACTTCACCATCTTGCTGAGGCTTTGTTTTTTCCTCTTCCTGTTCAGGTACCTACAAAGCTCAGACATGGCCAAAGGCAAGAGCTAATGTGGCTTTGGATGAGCCAACAAATAAGTTCAGGACCAACCCAAAATATAGTTTATTGGTTTATTAATAGTGTGTGTGTGTGTGTGGGGGGGTGTCCTGTTGTAAGCTGCTTTGGCTGCTCAACGGAAGGGCCCCAAAACAAAAGCAGGGAATGAGGGGCCCAGATGCCATGGGGGCAAAGGTGATGATGGGCAGGGGTCCCCAATTTGTCGCCCAACATCTTCCTAATACCTGCCAAGGATGTTAAATGAGTAGGGCTTTTGGCCAGTAGGGCTTCTGATGGGCTGTGCAGACTTTGCTTCCGGCTGCAGCTGCTACAAGAATCTTCACTGTGGGGCTGAAGGCAAGCTGTGACTATGCAAAAAAATTTCTAAAGGCTACATTCATTTTTTAAAAATCATCCTGTTAAGCAGAGGTTCAGCCTGAAGTCTTGGAAGAGTTGCTGTTAGATTGATGCATAACATCACTGTTTCATTTTCTTGGTTGGCTCTAACTCCTGTGGTTGCATCCACTACCCTGTGTCAGAATTTCACAGGTGCCCATCAGCTCAAAAAGGCTGGGGACCAGCCAGGCCTTTGCAGGAGCTGAACAGCTGTACTGTTTGCTCTAGAATGTGTCCAACTGCTGTTAACCTCTCTGTTTTGCTTACACACTGCCTGTTCCAAACCATCTGCCCTTTTTTGCAGTCGGATTTTTATCGTTTCAATAAAGACTCTTCTCTGCTTTTGCTGTGCTTATGGGCAGGGGGAGACTGGGGAGGAAAGCTCTGGCATGTGATATGGAGCACCATGTTCAAGTCCCCAGAAATATGGTGGGTGGAACTCTTTGCACTGAAATAATAGTAATATGTGAAAAAAGCCATTGGGAGAGAACAGCATATACCCTATCCCAGATCACTTTGTCTGGCCAGTCACCAGCTTGTTGCAGTGAAAAGGACAGATGCTGTCCCCTGCCCCAGCAAGTCTCCACTGCCCCACTGTAACGCACAAGGCAGCTGCCATTTAAAAAATTCACAAATAATCCCAGTTGCATGAGCAGTGTTCCTCTGCCCCACATCAAATTTTTTTAATGTTCTCCTAGAATACTGTTAAATTCACCAAGCAAAATTGTGGATGCAAATTTAATCCGTTGCACGTGCCTTTGTGGCTTGAAGCGACCTATCCATAGCGGCTTCTGAGCAGTGGCAAATTTCATGCTTTAAGACCTCTCATGGTTATCAGACGTACTTAACGTCATCACTGCTGTCCTCAGTTGGCTTAGTCATAGTACTGGGGGTAGGTACCAGTGGAGGAATTTAAAACAAGATTTTATGTAGGCTAGCCCAATCTCAGTTGAAACACTCTAGAAGTTTGTGTTCCTTACAGAGTAAGCCAGCCAGAGACAAATGTGGCTAAATTAGGTACATTCAGACCAGTGTTCCCTCTAAGCTGAGTTAGTGTGAGCTAGCTCATAGTTTTTCAGCCTTGAGCTCACAGATTTTTGTCTTAGCTCAGGAAGTATGGCTCCAGAGCAAACTAACATGCAGTAGCCAAATCCCTTGCTCACAACTTTGCCAGTAGCTTACAAAGTAGAATATTTGCTCACAAGACTCCACAGATTAGAGGGAGCATTGATTCAGACCTCCCCATTTAAATGAAAGCTTCATAAGATCAGTTCCTTTATTTTAGACCCAGATAAGACCCCCTGTCTTCAGTGTATGCTTCCAGTTCACATTTCCTTTTAAATCAATTTCCCTGAAGCAGTGGCAAGACCTTGCCTTTATTAAAACTACATTTAAAAAAAAAACCTTGAACACACATACAATGATAGCTCCTTATGTACAAAACAAGCAAAACTGCAGCCAGGTGGGACGCTTTGTGTCAGGGTCTCCCCGACAAGCACTGGTTCACCACTTCCAGCAAATGGGCGTTTTCCAAGGCAGCTGCAACTCTCTCTTTGTCGGCCAGCTGCTTGTTTACTGGAGGAAACAGTTCAAAAACAGATGAATAAAGACACTCGGTATTGTATCTTGTGTAGAGACCATTGGAGGGCTTGGGCATGCTCTCCCCCCCCCCCCCCCCAAGACATATTTATACAAGTTCCAGGAAAACCTCCTAGGAAAGATGTCTGACCAGCTTCCACTCCAGGTGGCTGACTTCATTCAGGCAAGCTTGCAATTTTTATAACTATTCTTTTGCCATCAAGTCACGGGTGACTTATGGTGACCTCATGGGGTTTTCAAAGCATGACATGTTCAATTGGCTGCCTCTGCATCACAATACTGGTATTCCTTGGAGGTCTCCCTTCCCGATACTGACCAAGAATGATCCTGCTTAGCTTCCAAGAGTCGACAAGAACGGGCTAGCCTAGGCTATCCAGGTCAGGGATCTTGCAAAGAGGCCCTGGAAAAGTAGTGACCCCCTCCCTCACATTTTAGAGACACAACATCATCAGCCCAATCAGGCAAAGAACCAACTAGTCCATTTTGCAAGAATTCCCCTTTCTAATTGTATGACAAAGCTATTTTTTTCCTTGTCTCAACACCCAGGGCCATTTCCAACCCTCCCAGTGAAGATACTCTTACTACACTGTTTTCCAAAGTCTTAACAGCAATGCAATAAAAGTCCTCTGAAATGTAATTTGATACTAATTTGACATTTAGCATAATGTGGGAAATCAACACAGGCTGCTCTTCACAGTAGAAAAGAGCTCGCCCACCCAAAGAAACCTTCGTTTCTGAGCCTCTGTGACAGTAAGAACATAAGAGGAGCAATGTTCCCTCTAAGCTGTTGAGCCTTGTGAGCAAGCAATTTGGCTACTGCATAACTTAGCTTGCTCTGGTGCCATCCTTCCTGAGCTAAGACAAAAATGTGTGAGCCAGAAGCCAAAAAACTGCGAGCTAGCTCACACTAACTCAGCTTAGAGGGAACACTGAAGAGGAGCCCTGCTGGATCAGACCAATGGTCTATCTAGTCCAGCATCCTGTCTCCCACGGTGGCCAACCAGTTCCTCTGAAGAGCTAACAACAGGGTATAGAGGCCGAGGACTTCCCCTGATGCTGCCACCGGGCTCTGGGATTCAGAGGTTTAGAGCCTCTGAATGTGGAGGTTATAGACTATCCTCCATGAATCTATCTACAACCCTTTTACAGCTGTTTATTCCTGTGGCCATCACGACATCATCTGGCAGCAATCACTCTCTGCGTAAAGTAGCATTTCCTTTTGTCTATCCTGAACCTACTTGCCTTAAGTAGGCAAGTTCCACTGGATGCCCTCCTAGTATTTTGGGAGAGGGAGAAAAATTTATCTTTGTCAATTCTCTCCACCCCCTGCATAATTTTATAAACCTCTATCATGTTCCCCCCCTTAGTCGTCTCTTTTCTAAACTGAAAAGTTCCAGACAGTACATGGCATTCTCAAAGCCCCAAAGAAGCATACTTTACCAGAAGCAGGGGTGCCAATTTAAGTTCTATTTCTGAAATTACTCAGGGTAGCCACAGAACTGGTGTACTATAACAGATCAGGTGGATTTCTGGGCACAATTCTCCACCACCTCTGCTGAAACTCACTGGCTGTTGGCCTACCCTGCCTGGCAAGGTTGTTGTGATGAAAAAATGCCACCCAAAGATCCTTGCAGGAAGGGTAGGATTAAAAAATATGATTTATGAATATACAAACAGACACACGGACAGATGACTGTGTCAGAATTTCAGCTGATGCCTTCCGCAACCAGTGATCAAAGGAGATAGCAGCCATTCTCCCTTGAAAGCGAATCCGCCTCTTGGCAATTTGAACCTGCTGCATGTTGATCCAGTAGTACAATGATAAGACCAGAGTTAGGGAACTGCCTTTTCAAGAAATCTGTCAAACCCCTGAAGCTTGCCAGAAAGACACCCAAGACCTTTTTTCCTTTATAATTTGTTACTTACACTAGGACCATGGGAACTGTAATGTGAAATGCAATAGGTAATCTGTAATCGTTTGCAGTTTCTGTGCAAACTAAGCTCACCTGCGTGTTCAGAGGCGTGGGTTCCCGGTGTTATGTGGACATCCACCTGGGCGGGAGGGAAAATAAGGAAGTAACCCCATCCGTCCCACTAAGCTAAGCACAAGACCAAGACCAGGTCCCCCCCCTTCATCAATGAAATGTGCTATTAAATTCAAATTACAGAACAGCAAGACATCCATCGTTCCCAATCATAAGGAAACCAGGTTTTTCCTTCCCTTACATATGTCCTGGATTTTGTTGATGATGCCTTGGAAGAAACTGTCACTTTTTAAAAAAGCTTAAAGAAGCCCTGTAAAATAACTAGCTGGTGTCTGAATACACTCAAAAGTTTGAAGTTGCAAACCCAGTTTATTTCTAGGGGATGGATTATTCAAACGAAATAACCTATGCAAACTGGGCAGATTTTTAATTTTTTTTGCTTTTGGATCAAAGACACAGGGAATTTCCTTGTCAGGTTTTCTACTGAATGGAGCACTCTGCAGACAGAAGCTGTCACCCTTACAATGTGTCCATAGGGAGCCCCCCATTTCTCTCCCACCACTCTCACACACAGCGCCCAACTCTGTAGTGGTCAGGATCTTGAAGGCCTCTGTTGTCCTCATGGTCCCTTCCAGTTTATCACCACCACCCCACGCCCCCTTCTTGAGCAATGAATGCAATCGAAACACAGGCACTTCCAGGAGCTTGAGATCTGGCTGAACACCTCAAGCTTGGGTGCTACTGCTGGAAACCCCCATCCAGATAGACCAGCTGAGTGGAAATGGCTGATATATTTTAACAGTGAGGGCTATGCACATGCTTAAAAGCTGTCAAGGATCATTCTAAAATGGTAGCCGTCTTAGACTACTGCAGCAAAATCAAGTTGAAATCCAGCAGGCACCTTAAAGGCTAATGACATTTATTCCAGCATAAACTTTCATGAGTCAGAGCTCGCTTATAGCATCTTGAGCAAGTGAGCTGGGACTCACAAAATAGACATCGTTAGTCTTTTCATGTGCCACCAGACTTCGGTTTTAAGAATCTTAGACAATTGCACGTTCCATAGCAAAGATGCCCGAGCTCCCCGCCCAGGGTTCCCTGATGTATTTAGCAGACCTGTTCAACCTGCACTGCTTTCAGATGGCAAAGAATTCAAGCACCTGGAACATCTCTCCCCACATTCTGAAACACCATTTCTCACTGGTCACCAGTGTCTCAAGCAAACCTCTTTCAAGTGTGTAGCTGCAAAAATCATCTTTCATCCAAAGGCAACTGAGTGCCTGGATGCTTTTCCTCCTGCAAAATTCTTGTCTCCTTCCCAACCTTTTCTTTCAGCCGTCTTCAAGAGTCCTCTGTCTTTGCAATGCTCAGCAATCGGCATTTGCTAAGGTAATAGGAAACATTTGCCCACACTCACCTTAAACCGTTCAGGGAGGGATCTGATCAGCTTCACTTTGATCGAAAGGCCAATCAGCGTTGCCATGCTGCAGTGAGGAATGGTGGGAGTGAACTCCACCGAAACAGTACTTTCTGCATCATTCACCTGTTACGAGAGACATTTTCCCCGTAAGTACAGGACTTGCAGAATAGTTAACTATTCAACCAGATCAAGTGCTGTATTAAGTAGAGAAGACCCTAGCTAGTTTGTTCAGTGGTATCTTTCTGACTGCATTCATACATCTGATTACCAAAGTACCCCACCTGCTGTCAAGTGACTCATCTCCCAGAAAGGACCCCTCAAGGGTCCAAGAAGACTTCTCAAAGGGATTCAGATCACGTAGTGCAGAATTCTGTCCTCTACCACAGTCAGGCGGGGGTGGGGGGTGGGGAGAGAATGGCATAGCCAGACACGATGGCAGAAGTTGACGTCAAAGCTGACCTTTCAGCTGCTATGACTACTGGTTATCCCCAGACCCCTGCAACTATTTAAGAAGCCCATATATTGTATGGGTGAAGGACTAAGGCTGAGCAAAACAGAAGCTATCTGCCCTTCCCAAAGCAGACACATCTTGTCCTGTTTTCCCGTCAATGAGCCTGCTTGCAGCTTCTTCAGTAGGTCTCTGGCAGAACAATACAAGCGGCAAAGCCAGGCTTGTACTTACTTTGACACGAACCTGTTCCACGACATTCAGCTCTTCCAGAGTTAAGGGATGTTCTGGATCATTGATGGACCGAATGAGATGTAAAACAAACAAAAAAGTTAAGGGAAAACATTCTACTAGTAGGGAGCTCTTGGTTCTTGTCAAGAGGCAAGAAGCAATGAGTTGGATCTTGCAGATCCATTCTGCTAGGGCAGGTCCTTTCCCCTGGTGGAAGGAGCTTTCCTGTGGCGTAAAATGCTCACACCTTCCGCTGGAGGCAGGACCCACCACTAGGGGCTCAATAAGGATTTGTACTCCAAACACCTGTCTGCCCCCCGCCCATAATAGATAAATAATATGAAAGGGTGGTCAATTCTGTCTTGGAAAGTTCTTAGAGATTTAAATATGGTGCCTGGGTAAGGTGTGCTTGGGGATGAGAAGGAATTCAGCTAGGATGTAAAGCTGAAGAATCAGGATCTTGAAGGCCTCTCTTGTCCTCACACAGTCTCTTCCAGCTTGTCACCACCACCTTATATCCACCAGAGATATTCCCTCTGGCAAGACCATATCTCTGCAGTCATAATTCTGGGACAACTCCCTGGAGGCATTTAGCATAATCTTCAGTGTTCATTTAATTTCTTTGATGTTGCAGGTCAAGGCCTTGCCTGCAGATCATGACACCATAAGGTACATGGAGCTAACCTGAAGCCTCTCCCAAAATTTTGTCACATTTTTGTTCCACAGCTCAGATTGAGGACCGACAAAATGAAATACTTCTTTACTCAGTGAGTAACATGTGAATTCACTGCCACTGGATGTACTGATGACCATAGGCAAAGACGAATTTAAAAGAGGATTAGGCAGATTCATGTAGGACAGGTTCATCAATGGCTACTAGCCAAGGTGACTGAAGAGAACCTCCACCTACAGAGGCAGCCGTCCTCTGAATACCAGTGGCAAGAGGCAACATCAGGGGAAGGCCTCATCCTCTGTGGCCTGTTGTTGGACCTCCAGTGTAACTGATTGGCCTCCGTGTGGGACTGGACCCTGGACTAGATGGACCACTGGTCTGATCCAGCAGGACCTTTATGGTCTTATGGCAATGTGCACGATTCTCTTCCTCCATGTTACTCAGCTAAAAAAGCGATTGGTTCAGGAGGATCATCTAGTAAGGTTCATAGAAGAACAGGGATTCTCCTAAGGTTGCCAGTCTCCAGGTGGTGACTGGGGATCTCCTGGGATTAAAATTGATCTCCAGGCGACAGAGATCAGTTCCACTGGAGAAAATGGCTGTTTTTGGAAGGTGGACTTTATGGCATTATACCCATTGAACTCCCTCCCCTCCCCAAAGCCGCACCCTCCTCAGGCTCCACATCTCAAACCTCCAGGTATTTCCCAACCCAGAGCTGGCAACCCCATTGCATCCTCACAACAGCCCTATGCGGGAAGCGTGGCTGAGAGCCAAGGAGCCCTCAGACACCCAAGGGGTGACCTCAGGCCAGGGAGAGCCCTCAGTCACCCAGAGGGTTTTATGAGCCTCCATGTCCTCCCTCACGACAATCCTATAAGGTAGGCCGGTTCCAGGGAGCTCTACGGGCCTCCGCAACCGGGTCTCTCCAGGACCACCCGCCCCCTTCCCAAGGATATCGAAAATCTCGCGGTCGTCGATGGCATCAGGCAGCTCGTCGTCCTCCTCGCGCGCCGTAACCGGCCGCTCGCCCTGGCGCCGGTAGATGAGCGGGTTGGCGTTCTCCAGCGCTACACCCCCGGCCGGGGAAGGAGCCAGCGCCGGTCCCACCATAGCCGCGGAACTCACTCGCCCGGGCTCTGACGCAGCCCGCTTCCGGCGCGAGGGACGCCTTGGCCGACGCTCCCGAAAGTGAAGGAGGCCGGCGGGTGGTGAAAGAGGGTAACGCATAAAAGCAGCTCGACTACACTTCCGATCCCCCGTCAGGCAATCAAAGCCAACAGGGAACCATAGAGAACAGAGGTCCATGAGTGGCTATTAGCCCCAAGGTATAGATTGAGCACTCTGTGTGGGGCAGTGATGCGCTGCATTCTCGGTGCTTGGGGGGCTACAGGGGGAGGGATTCTGGAGTTCTGGCCTCGTTGGTGGACCTCCTGACGACACCTGGTTTTGGGGCACTGTGTGACGCAGTGTGTTAGACTGGGTGGCTTCTCTGATATTCTTAGATTTGAAGATGGAGCGGATACCTCCCCGCTGCCCCCATTGTGACATCTAGGCTAGTGCCCCGCAGATGGCGGAGTTCCCATGACAACCGGAAGTGTTTTACTTGTGGGTTTTTGCAAACAATCCTATTTAAATTCCAGACAGGGGCTCCTATTGATCTGTCCCAGTGAAGAGAAGGAAGGGGAGCCCCGAGGCAGCTCAAAAGCGAACCGGCTTGTTGTGGTAAAAGCTTGGACTGAAACCTCAGCCAGCATTGCGAATTAATATTTTATTTAGATACGTATCCCGCTTTACTCCTGGATGGGAACCCAAAGCGCTTACAACGTTGTTCTCCATTTTTCTTTTATGTCCACCTGTCTCACAGAGACTCAAATCTTATTTATTTCATTTATATATCCCTCTTTGCTCCCCCATCGTTCTCCTCCGCTCCACTTTAGGGCTCCTTCACTGTTGGCAATCATAAGTTGTACACGGCATTTTACTTTGGCTGTGGCACTTGCTGATTAGGTTTGTTCTGGAGTGCGTGGAGTTATTTCAGCATAGCCTGTAGTGATGGATGCACCGTTGATTATTTTTTCTTCCTGTCACATTTTTACCCCAACTGTGATTAACTGATACAAAAATTACATAAATAAATTACACCAATTCCCTTTCCTGGAACCCCCCAACTATTTTTAGGAAGTGGGCCGGGCCGGGTGGGGCTTTTGCCAGCAAGGTATCTGACTAGCCACTGGAGATTGGCTGTGCCAGTTTTTAAAAAAATGTTGCTTTGATATCAGCCTTCATGTGGTGCCTGGAGATGTCCTGGCATTCCAGCAGATCTCCAGGCTATAAAGATCAATTCCTCTGGAGAAAATGGCTGTGTTGGAAAGCAGGTGGACTCAGTGGCAAGGTACCCTGCTGAGGTCCCTCCCCTCCCCAAACCCTGCCTGCCCCAGGCTCCACCCCCCAAATCTCCAGGAATTCCCCAACCTAGAGCTGGCGGCCCTAAACAGGAGACAGGTGGGAAGTTGTTGTGGGTGATGACCCATAAAGCTGGTTGCTTTGTCCCCCATTAGACTCCCTGAGAGGGGCTCCCCTCCCCCCCATTTGCCTTTGATCACCCAGCCCTGTTGAAGAATTCTGAAGGGTGTGAAAAGCCTGCATACTAGGCTGGGTTGTTTTGATTGGCATGGCATGATGTTGGCTTTTGAATTTTTTAAAAATACAGTATTTTAAAATTTTCTCTTGTGTATTGAAATCTGAACTCTTTTCCATGCACTCCTGTTGTTTTCCTTGTGGCAGACTGTTGGGTATTCTTGGTAAAAATATAGTTAAGCAGAGATAAAAATCAGCAGAGTAAAAGATTGAGAGACTGAGTCCGTGTGTATGTTTGTAAAATATAAAAGTTTACTATCAAACTAACATGGGGAAAAGGTAAACGGGATGCAAAATAACAAAGGACTAGATTCCTACATCTTTACAGCTAAGAAGGTGTTACAGGTACGGGGAAGAAGACAGGAAGAATGGTGTCTTCTCCTTCTCCGAGACAAAATGCAGGAAAGGTGATCTCAGGTCCCTGCCACACAGCAGAAAAAAACCCGGGCAAAGTGCGGCTAATCAGAGCCGCACCAAAATAGAGACGCCATGGCGGGATCCCACGGATCCCCTGAGCCGCGGCGCCATTGCTCCCCGGCACGATCAGATGCCGGGGAGGAAGCCACAGTCGGGAGGGGGAGGTTGCCGAACTGCGCATGTCTGAGCATGCGCAGTTCGGCCAGGAGCCGGGGATGCGGCCGGCCTTGATGCCACGGCCGGCCTTGATGCCACAGCCGGCCTTGATGCGGACTTGCCAGAAGACCCACCTCGGTAGATTTATTTTTGCCGCGGCGTTTTGGGCGGAAGGGCCGGATCGCAACGCTTCCCAGATGTTGCGGTGGGATCGTGCCCGTTTGCTCCGCCCCCGATCTGTCCCTCTCCAGGCCCAAAACCTCTCGTGTGACCGGGGCCTCAGTATGCTAAATAGCCTATACATTGATTTCCAATCACCTCCTACAAAATTCCCAGGCTTCCTTAGTAAACAGATTGGGTACAAATAAACATGTGACTTCCTGTTGACTAACACAAAGTTAAAACTCTGTAACTGCTGAAGTGTTTTAACTTGCTAAGCCCAACACAGATCCTTGACTTTGTAAGGTTTTCTGCTGACTTTTATGCTGCTAGGCATCAATTGCATCTTTGGTGCAGTAGTAATTTTAGTTTCTCATCTGCCTGCAAGATGGTAGGCTTTTAAAAAACACACACATATATATTTTAAATGTATAAAGTCTTTATTGATAATTAGCAGCCAATACATAATGGGAAAAATTAAACAAAACTTGGCATACAATGACATTCAGAAGGCCGCTACACCATATGTAGTAAGATTACTCTAAACAGTTATAACAACTAATACTTATCTTCCCCCTACACTATAAACAAAGGGGGAGAGGAACAATCTACTATATATAGAAAAAAGAACACTAACAATAACAATGGCTCCAGATAAATCTTCATTACAAAGGAACAAGGCTATTATATTTAAACCAAATAAACTAATCATGCAATCAATGAATAGCGACTAATGATATATAATAGTTTCTTTTTCTCAGATTACTAAACCCTTCAAAGTTCTGAAACTTTAATTCCATAAAAGGAGACAATTTTGCAAGTAAACTAAATTGTCAAACTGGATCTGCTTTTTTTGATAAAGGATCTTGTGATTTTATCCAAAATAAAATAATCCCATAGTTTAAGGGACCATTGTTGCACTGTAGGGGGATATCTGCTGGATATCTGGGTAATTGAAACACTCCCGAGAAAGCAACAGGAGGAGGAAAAGGTATCTCAGCAACGGGAGGAGCACCTGACACAGGAGGAGGGCACATGGAAGAATGTAGTCCACAGAAGCAGGAAGATCAAGAGACATTCTAAGTCTCTGTTATGAAACAATCAGTTCCTGGATCTCCCCAGATATTGATTATGAACCACTGGAACAAGGGCTCCACCCCCCAGCCTCCACAAAGCTTGAAGAACATTTCTCAGACCCCTGTGGATGAGAGGACTCAAGTCTCTGCTCCCCAATATAGAAGGCATGTGTTGGTAATTGGGGATTCCCTACTGAGAGGGGTAGAAGCTAATGTGTGCTGACGACTTGTCGTTTCAAGAGGTATGCTGTCTACCAGGAGCACGCTTCCAGGATGTGACAGAAAGGGTAGGAAGACTCATCAAGCCCACAAATTATTATCCCTTCTTGCTCATCCATGTGGGAATAAATGATATAGCCCGGCACAGCTCAAAACATATTAAAAGAGACTATGTGGCTATGAGTAAAAAAGTGAAGGAATTGGAAGGGCAGGTTGTATCCTCATCAGTTCTTCCTGTTGAGGGCTGTGGCTTACGAAGGGAAAGAAGAATACTGCAGATCAATTATTGGTTTCATCAGGAAACGTTTGGATTTTTGGATCATGGTTTACGCTTTCGAGATAAGCTCTTCTTGGGGAGATGGTTTGCACCTCACGAGGGTAGGAAAAAATGTTTTTGGAAGCAGCCTTGCAAACCTAATAAGACCTTTAAACTAAATCCTGTGGGGGAGCGAGACAAAAATGCAAAGCCTATAACTGGAGATAAGAGCTCTAAAGTTTTGCGGGGAGTGGCACATGTGCTAGATAACATTAACTCACATGTAAGTACAGAAACAAAAACCTCAGGGTGCATGAAACATGGATTCCGATGTCTCTACACTAATGCTCAGAGTACGGGAAACAAGCAGGAAGAACTTGAAGTCCTAATAAGGAAGGGGACTATGACCTAATAGGCATTACTGAAACTTGGTGGGATGACACTTACAATTGGAATATTAGGATTGAGGGGTATAACTTATTTAAAAGGGACAGACAAATAAGGAAGGGCGGAGGAGTAGCATTATGAGAGATTGCCGCTGCTGGATCCCAAAAGGGGATATCACGTCGTTGTCATCTTCTTCAGCAGGTTCCTCTCCTAATGAGAGGGTGCTGCTGCTGGATCCCAAAAGAGGATGTCACCTCGTCATCTTCTTCTTCGGCAGGTTGCTTCTCCTAGGCCCTTTCTGCACTGTTCTGCTTTGTGGCAGATTTTGTGTTCAGAACTGCCTTGTGCTTTCACTTCACAGTATATTTTTATTTCTGCATTTTTATCAGGTTATTTTTAAGTTCTACATTGCTCCGCTTGGTGTTGCTCTGCAGTTTCCCCAGATTTTTTAAATGCTGTTTACCGCAGTTTTTCTCTCCCCCTCACATCCACACCAGAGTAATTCCAATGCAGAAACATTTTCTGCAGGAATGTACAAATGAAGAAAATAGAAGTTCTGTCCTTACCTTGATGCCCAGGAAAGTCTGATCTCATCAGATCTCAGAAGCTAAGCAGAGTCAGCTCTGGCAAGTACTTGAATGGGAGACCTCCTTGGAATACCAGCAGTTAGGAGGCAGGGGCAGGCTCTATTCAGCCACCTCTCTGAATATCCCCCAGGCCCCCAGTAGGGGCCAGTTACCAGAGGTCGCCATGACTTCCAGGTGCAGACACACAAATACCAAAAAAAAAAAAAAGATGCAATTTTTATCCCCCCCCCTTCCACGTCCACACCAGAGTAATTCAAAAGCAGAAACTTCCCCATATTTCCTTCCCCCACCCCTTTTCCGG